TTCATTGTAGTCGTTGGTAGGCGCATAGCATTGGATGATATTCATTGAAATGCCCTCCTTTTTTGTTTTGAACGAGGCTTTGATGATCCTTGGTTCATGAGATTCCCATCCTATAAGCGCATTTTGAGCTTGTTTGAACAGCATCAATGCAACTCCTTGTGTATGTGGTGCATTTTCTTCATGGCCGGAGTATAACAGAAGCTCTCCTGAAGTTAATCGTTGTTGTCCAACTTGCGTCCAACGTGTTTCACTGATCCCAAGTAACTCTAGGTTGTATCTCCTCATTTCTGCAGCAATTTGGAAGGCTCTCCCGGTGTCCCACGTTGTATGAACATTCCATGTACCTAAATAAATGGTCGCTCTGGTTGTCAGAAGGGGCATCGGCCTCGAAGGAATTCGGCTTTCATCATGAGGCGTCATAGTTCTTCTAAATGAAGACCTTCTGACTCCCGGGGCAGAGTTTAAAAGGTTTGAATAGTTTTTTCTGGTTAGCGTTTTTTAGCGAGTTATTTTTCGACGGGATGGGGACGCTAACCCCATGCCCAACCCTCCTCCTTTATCCGGGCTTGGGACCGGCAGTAGCCCCCGGAGGGACTCCAGGCGGAGTTGCTTGCGCCTCACTGGATGCAAAAAAGCCTCAGTAAAAAGACCCTTTAGAACTGGATTGAGTAGCGAGAAAACCAAATGTAGGTTCCAGGAACAACTGAGGTCACAATTAGGTAGTTCTGAAAACGAGCTTGACCCAGATGTTGCTTGGAAAGATATACAAACAGCTGTAGAAACAGCATTGAAATCTATCAGTGATTTAAACCACAAGGTTACAAAGAACCAATGGATTTCTTCAAGGTCTATTGCACTGATGGGTTCTCATAAACTCATTCCATTAGGCTCTGATCACGATGAAGAGTGACAACAAATCAGATCTAGGTTAAGCAAAAGTCTAAGGAACGACCGTGAGCAGTGGTGGGCAACGAAAGCAAAAGAGATGGAAAAGGCGACGGCTATAGGGAACATAAGACAGCTCTACAGACTAATAAAGGAAACTGGAATTAATAGGTCAAGTGTAAGTCAGACTATTTCGGAAAAAGACGACACTCCCATCTGCTCCCAGTCCAGACGTTTAGAACGATGGGCGGAACATTTCAGAGAACAGTTCAGCTGGTCTTCAGCTACTATACTACTACCCTCCATTCCCAGACAGTGTGAATGGAACATTGAAATAGGTCCCCCAACTCTAGCAGAAGTTCAAAAGGCTATAGTTAATCTGAAATGAGGAAGGGCAGCTGGTCCAGATGGATTGGCTCCAGAGGTGTTTAAGGATGGTGGTCCAATTGCAGCGATTAGGTTGACTAATATTTTAGCTAAGATCTGGGAGTTAGACGTTATCCCATCTGGCTGGTCGCAATCAATTATCGTCCCAATATATGAGAGAGGGTTAAAATCATCCTGTGACAACCATAGAGGGATTAGTTTAACTAATATAGTGTCTAAAATACTAGCCTCGATGGAATGCGCTTCTCTCCCTCGAAATGCAAGTTGTTACTTCCGGACTGGACTGCGTCAGCACCTGAACTAAGGATAGGGAGTGAAGTAGTCGAACTCGTCGACAACTTCACTTTTCTTGGAAGTCCGATCAGCCCTAATGGGTTGGTGTCTGACGAAATCTCAGCACGGATTTGAAAAGCTCGTTTGGCTTTTGCCAACTTACGTCACCTATGGCGAAGGCGAGATATACGTCTATCAATCAAAGGACGAGTATACTGCGCGTCGCTTCGTTCTGTTTTAATTTACGGCAGCGAATCATGGCCATTAAGAGTAGGGGATACTAGTAAGCTAATAGTATTTGATAACAGATGCCTTAGAAATACTGCTGGGATCACCGGGTAAGTAATAGTGAGGTTAGACGCAGGATATTAAGGAATGATGGAAAATCAGTTGATGAGGTTGTGAATCTTCATCGACTGAGATGGTTGGACCACGTGTTACGTGTGCCTGAACATCGATTACCACGACGTGCAATGCTAACCGGTATTGGAGATGGTTGGAAGAAAGTTAGGGGTGGCCAAACCAAAACGTGGCATCAGTGCTTGAAGTCACTAACTTCTAGTCTGAGCCGTGTTGGGAGATGCAGTCTACTTGGTTGGGGTTCGCGTGACTATCGTAACCAATGGTTGGAGATTCTTGGTGACATGGCTCAGAATCGATCACAATGGCGTCGGTGTGTACACTCTCTATCTTCTCTTAAACTGAGAGATTAAAATTGCTTCATATCTTTCTTCTTGTACTGTATCCTCATTGCAATCTTTCTTTTATATATTACCACCTCTGAATTAACTACTTTTATGAATCCGGTGTCCATCATGTTGTGTTAATGAGGTATGGCAACTTGGACCGATGTATATATATGCCTGGTCCTACGTTGTAGCTGACTGACTGAGAATCTTGATGAGGTGTCCCTCTTTCCAGTCCGTCGGCACTTGTTCTAACTCCCAAATCTTCTTGAGTAGAAGGTAAACATGTTTGTTGTTACTTCATTGTCTAACCTCAGTGCCTCAGCTGGTATATTGTCAGATCCTTCTGCTCTCCCACTCTTGATTTGTCTGATGGCCATCTTTATATTTATTATTTATTTATTTCAACACATAGATATCGGTACAAGGAGGCACCAAATACATATGCGCCACACAAATCTCATTCGATATGTGTGAGGGCTGTGATGCTGCCCGGGTGCCGAGACCGAAGCAGGTGGTTTTCTTAAGGGGCCACACCCCGAGCCTTCGACCTGAGGGTCTGATCCACAAGGCAGTGGAGCATCGTAAGGAGATGCAGTCCCATGGAAGCCGGTGACCAACAATTGGTTCATACGCCATTTGTTCCCGCAGGATACTGGAGCCCATGTGCACCATTGGTTTGGAATCCGGTTAAAGCGCCGGACATTCGCTTTTCGTCCTCTCATTTTCGTAAACAGCACCCCCGCCACGAGAAGGCAGTGAGTAGGACTTCCCTGGCAGGGGCTATATACGCGTGGCCATGTGAGAGCATTTCGAGGGGGAGAGCGGACTCTCCCCACTCTCGGCCGTACCAAGGCATTTGGCCATCTAGATTTCTTCAATCTTTGATGGAGTGACATCTATGGGAAAGTCTGTGTGTGCTGCTTCGATGTCCGATGGATTCAATGGGGCTTGTCTATTCAACAGTTCCTCGGAGTATTCTACCCATCTATTCCTTTGTTCTTGAATACCGGTGATTGTCTTTGACCGGTCTCTCTGGTTTACTATACGTCCCTGCTAGTTTCTTCGTTGTATCGTAAAGCTGTTTCATATTTCCTTCTCTTGCAGCTTATTCCGCCGTCGTTGCTAGTTCTTCCACGTATTTCTGCTTGTTGGCTTTAATGCTTTTCAAACGCTTGTTTGCTTCTGTGTACTCAGCTTGTGCTTTGACTTTCTCTGCTCGTGTTCGGCTGTTGTTAATTGCTATCTTCTTGTTCTTCGTTTCTTGAATCTTGTTCAGGGTTTCCATAGAGATCCATTTCTTAGGGTGATGCTTGTTGCGGCCCAGCAACTCCTGACACGTTGAGGTTTGTGTTCCTTTAATCCGTTTCCAGTGGTCTTCCATAGCAGTTTCTTCTTTCAGTAGATCCTGTAAGGCTTGGAACCTGTTGTGAAGAGCTATCTTGAATTCGTTGAGCTTGTTAGTACCTCGAAGGAAAGAATGCTGTATTTAACATTCGTAATGCTATTCCCACATTGTCCAGTGTTTCTTTCGCTTCAGTTTAATCTTAGCCACCACCAGGTGATGATCTGAAGCTATGTCAGCTCCTTTCCTGATTCTCACATCTTCAGTTGTCCTTCCAATTTTTTTATTTATGCAAATATGATCTATTTGGTTCTCTGTGGTGTGATCCGGTGAGACCCATGAAGCTTTCTGTATACGTTTGTGTGAGAATATTGTGACACTTATAGCCAAGTTGTTGAATACACGTAGATTTGCAAATCTGTCACCATTCTCGTTTCTCTCTCCCAGTTCATGTCGCTTCATGATATCTTCATATCCGGTGTTGTCCATCCTGAACTTGGCGTTTCGGTCTCCCATCAGGATGGTCAGTTTCTTTCCTGAGCACCTCGCTATGATTGATTGCAGCCTCTCATAGAACTGATCTTTGTCATCGTCTTTGCTATCATTGGTGGGTGCATAAGATCGGATAACATTCATTGTGATCCCCTCATTCTTTGTTTTGCATGATGCTTTGATAATTCTGGATCCGTGAGATTCCCATCCTACAAGTGCATTTCGTGCTTCTTTGGACAGCATTAGAGCGATTCCTTGAGTGTGTGGAGCATTTTCCTCTTTGTGACCGAAGTACAGCAGCATCTCTCCCTTATTTAACCTTTGCTGTCCAGCTTGAGTTCAATGGTTTTCGCTGATTCCAAGTACTGCCAATTCGTATCTCCTTAGTTCCGTTGTTATTTGACTGGTCCTCACGCCCTCTCACATTGTCCGGACGTTCCATGTACCTATGAAAATTATTGCTCTGGTTGTTAGAAGGGGCATCGGCCTCGTGACTTCAGAGGGAACTCGGCTTCCACCATGAGCCATCATAACTCTTTTAATTGAAGACTTTTTAACTTCCAGGGCAGAGTTTAAATGGTTCAAATTAATTTTTCTGGTTAGTGTTTTTTAGCGAGTTGGTTTTTTACGGGATGGGGTCGCTAATCCCATGCCCAACCCTCCCCCTTTACCCGGGCTTGGGACTGTCAGTAACTCGAGAAGATCTACAGGCAGAGTTAGTAAGCTTTACTATGGTGCAAAACTGAATAATAGGTTTGTGATTAGTTTATCTAATTCTCCACCCTTAACGCTAAATTTAAGATTCTTTCGAATCTACGTTTCCCCTTATTTCTAGCATTTTTAGCCACACGTAAATATTTAGTAGGTTTGCATTTCATTTTTCTATGCTTACTTATTTGTTACAGCCTTTGTTATTATTTTTAACTCGATAGGAGTTCTCAGGCGTGTCGACGAAACCAAGTTCCTGTTATTTTGGATCTTCACCTCGTTTTCCAGAGCTATATTTATTATCACGTAGCTTATCTCAGGTGTCTCTGCCATGTTTGCCTTACCGAATTATGGGTCCTGAGGGTTCACGTCCATCTATACACCATACTCCTTTCCCTGGTGGTCACGATTTCCAAAGTGTTTCTGCGATGCGTCATCTGGGCGGAACGTGCGAATATTGTAGGCACTTAATTCGTGGTCCGGTTGGAAAAATATTACGTTGTCGGGCATGTGGTGTTATATGTCATTTTGATGGATGTTTTAATAGCCTAACACGTCGGTGTCCAGGTGCATTACTTTTTCCCAGTACTAGTACTAAACACCATATGGGATGTCGGCGTTTGCGAACGGAAAGTGAAAGCGGCACTCATAATAATCCAAAGTTTCATCTTACTGGAGTTACTTTATTTGATACTAGACGCCGTATTTCATTTAAACATTTGGAAGTTTCCAACTTACCTTTTCTTTCGGCAGATCTAACTTTACAATCATGGACTTGTGCAGAATGTCTGGGATCCATTGATTTTACACCATCATATACAGTTTTATCAGGACGTTTGAATACACGTAATCTGGGTAAAACGATCAATGAGGTCATTGAAACAGGTATCGGTGTACTTATTGGGAAAGCTTTTCAAGATATATTACCAAAACACAACTCTATAGATCACGTGACGTCTTACCTAAGTACTCAACAATTGTCTTTGCCTACCTATTTATTGAAACCTTTTTCTACAGGACCATCTCTAGTAGGATCCAATCAATCAACTGATAACCTAAAACAATATGTTGCTTTTGCTTCTCATAGCGCTTCTGAACCAATCCAAACATGGCATGACGCGTTTGTTATAGAGGCATTTGGAAAAGTCAGTCGTCGGATTTCACCATCCTTATTTATCAAAACTCAAAACGGACGCTTAACAATAGATAAGCAAGCAAGTGAGCTAAATGTATTAGAGAATTATGCTGCAGACACTGCATGCACTATGGATTCTGCTCGTTTATGCTACTACTCAGGATATTTTTATTGTTCTAGGTGTCATTGGGGAGATACTCATCAAATTCCAGCTTGGATGTTTGTTCTGGGTGATTATGAACCTAAACCGGTAAGTCTTTTCATATTCTTAGATTTGATTCAATTTGGTCGAACAAAGTTGCTTGAAAAACAAGAAAGTGCTTATGGTATTTGTTTTGTTAGTACTTATGATTTTAATAACTTTCCAAAAACAATATTTTCTCAGTTGTGTGTAATTTCATCAGGTAAATAATATCATCTGCTATAGATTGGTTGCATACACTTATCTTTTCACTCCTAATTATTTCGTGACCTTTAGGCTTGCAGTAGTTGAGGCTTCTCATTCTTCATTTTAAATTTTGCTGATAGTTTTATTACTCAAGTAAATAAATATATTTTCCACACACTCCTGAGTTAGTTAAGTTGCATTTAGATGTATTTTAAACCTCTTACTATAATTATTTGATGCGTGTTAAGTAATCAAAATGATATCACAATTTCAATGCTTATTAAAATATCCGTAAAATTGTTTGATCTGTCAGTAAAACGCTGGTTTCTATACATGTAAGCGGTTAATAGTCTTGTTGTACTCCCAAAAGAATTGTGGTTCTGCTCGTGAGTCTAATGACAAGACAATCGTTACCCTGTGAGCACAATCCTTCGTCTAGTTAAACATTACTTCTAACCCACTCATTTTAAGTTCATAGGTCGCTTGTTTTTACTTTTCATATGTAAAGAAAACGTCACATAGGATAATAAGTTACTGTAAATGGTTCTCAACTTTTATATAGGTATGTCGAACCGCGTACTTGTGGCTAAATTATGCTTGGTCACGCCATTTATTCCGCGTTCCTGTATCGTGGTATTATCATGAACCGTTGGCCAGACAAGTATGTTCTATTCGTACTAGGATTTTCAGACTACAACCATACTTCAATATATGTTCAGGTGCAAAACTCTGCAGTTTAGATTTTAAAGTAAGAATACACACTTTTGCGCAAATTAAGAATTCTTACTTAGATACTAAGTAACAGCTTCAGTAAAGAAATATGTCCTTTTAATTCACTTTAAATCGTGACTCGATACCAATTTATTCATTTTTATAATTGATGATGAAACTTGTACAAATAAACTGGTGGAAAGTTTGTTAACTATGCTACAGAAATTCCAGAATTATCTATGAAAAACAATAGCGATTTATTGAGGCTATAGGTAAGATATCTAGACAAACAGAATTATTATATTTAACTTTATAATTTGGTCCAAATTGTTTTGCAAAACTGACAAACTACGTAATAACTAGTAAAAGAATTCAAAAACCTTATAAGAAGTTTTAACGATTGGTAATTACGAATAAAATGTCGAATATCAGCATTAGTTATAAAAGCGACAATAATTACAATGTGAAAAAGTAGCATATCATGTGTAAATCATCCATGTCATATGTTGTAAGGCGAAAGCTCGAAGAGTGATTGTCCGAATCTCGGCGAAATAGAAATTTATATACTCTTTATTAGTTAATGAATATATAAATTGACAACCAGTCTGTCACTAAATAATGTATAGGGTGGTTTTATGTGACATATAATGTACCTTGAGGGTTGTAATAAGTTTTTTATTGTCCTAAAACAGAGTATTTCCGTTTCCAAAACCCATTCATTTCATAAGCCAGTATTTGTCTGAGTACTTCATCAGGTTGTGTATACGATTACCCACAATTTTTGGAATATTTATATAAAGGTTCGATGAGAGGTTGAAAAACAATCTCAAACCTCGTAAATGAAATCCCTATTTTAAAGTGCTTGCGTACTACAGTGTTCGTTATTCAATACTTCAGTAGTGATGTAATTTGGTTGTAAACTTACTTCAAGTAAAAAGGAACGAGTTCTTATCAATTTATGTTTCGGGAAGAATTTAGATCTTCAGGAGTAATTATTTCTCGTAATTTCGCTTTAGCAGAATATCACTTTGAGTTTATATAGTGGGATAATGAACCTTTTCTTATGAGTGCTACACAGTATAGGCACTAATTGTATCACCTACAAAGCTATTCACAAAGCAATTGCTAACTGTAGGATTGGCTTTTGAATTTCGCGCATAAACCTAAGGTTCTACACTACAGAAACGTTTTCTGATCAGTAAATGACTATTCCTTTTAATCTTTCATTTACACCTTTAGTTATTCTTTTTTTTTTATAAAAAAAAGTAAATATATAATTCCAATGTTTTTACACGATTAACTAATTTGGGATTGCTTGATTTACGCTGATTTTATTGTTGGCTATTAAAGTGCGTATATTATCATAAAACATTAGTCAAGGCGAGTTAGAAAAATATTTCTACGCCCAGTTCGTACTTTGCTTAAGCAAGCTTCTAATCACTTACGCATGCTCTATAAATTGTTATTTACTTAGTTAAGCACATCATAGTGTGAAAAAACACCACAAAACGCACCTGACAAATGAAGCTACAATATTGTAAAGAGATTTAAAAAAATGAAGGATAGCGCAGTCGATAAACAAATAAACAGAAACGTTATGTCATAAAAGATTAGATTCAGTTGAGAATAAAATCAAGAGAGCTTTGTTGTTGTCAAGAGAGCTCATGTCTTTTCTAAGAATAAAAATCTACAGAAGGATCACCACCAGCTCTTACACTCTCATATCTGTTAGCGCCTCAAGCTGTTGAACTGCACCATATCTAGAACTCTAACTGGGAAATCTTGATGAACCGATAGATCTTAGTTTTAAGTTGCTATCTTTCGTATCACATCTTTGTATCGTAGCCCAAATACTTCTCCGCTTTTCTTTCTCAGTTCGGAAAATAATGGGCAATATGGGAGCCACTGAGACGAGATTCGTAACACATAATAGCAATCGGTGTTTCAATAGTGCCACCAACTGAAATATCATCACTATCCCTGAACACATGCTCATGAATGTTGATAGTGAATGTGACCAATCCTTCAGAACAAGAGAATCTGAACTGCTGTCCGAGGTACGAGAGCGTTGTTTTACTTCTCAACTGACTTAAAATGGGAACTAAATCAGCAGTTATCTTAGCGACCTAAAGCCATGACCACAGAGCCCAAGTGATAGATGCTTAAGGTCAATCACACATGGTCTTTTTGTGAGAGGTTTTTGCTGTCTTAGTCCCGTACTTCAGAAGTCTCACCAGCGGAGACACCTATCCTTGGGTTGAGGTGAGGTGTGACGATTTAGAGTGACCTGTTATAAAACTTTATTTTGTTATGAGAAGGCAGCATCCTTATAGACACTGGTTACTCTAAAGAAACACTTTACTACTGTTACACCCCAGTACAGTAAACAGGACGAATTCGTTCTCGAATCTTGTTTCTTTTGGTCCCCAAGAAACATGTGTTGCAGCCAGCTTAGCTCGGTTCAGTCGTTACGATAGGCAAACTTGACCACCACGTCAAGACAGCAACTGCAGCATAAGTTTAATTACATTTAGTCTTTTCGTGTTAACTAACTTTCTTACCATTTTCTAAATTATTCGCAAACTTCTAAGAAATATGGTCTTGAATGGTTTCTTGAGCAACCGTATACATTCACCATGGATTTAATAAGTCAAGTATTGAATGGGAAACTGATTGTACAATTGACAAATTTCTTATCTAAAGTAAACGAACACATTGAGCAATGTCAGGTAAGATTGTGTCAATTAATGTGTTCATAAATAATATAATTTTAACCCATTGAATCCTAGTTTTGTATGAACTTACATATATATGGAGGCCATTAAATTTTAGCTATTGTACCTTTTGTGTAACTATTGTATTTGGATCTAACCAAATTATTCTACGCCTTATAGGTATGTGAAACTCACATTCCGAGTTATTGTGTCGTTTGCAATGAGGGGCCTACACGCCCATATCATATGAAAATGGCGTTTTGTAATCGATGTAATAAATCATGTCATCGGTAAGCAATATATTTTTGTAATAACACGCAGGCAACCGAACTTTTTTATGGATTTTGTTGCGCTTAACAAGTGTAGCAGATATTTTCACATATCATGCTAAATAGCTTTGGTTACTTGTTCCACTTATCATTTATTGTTTAATTATTTGACATGTGATGTAATTGTTTATGCACTCAACCCATAACTTTTGGTTTGTGAACTCTTATGTACTCCACCTACTTTGATCCGTATAATGAAGTAGTCACCGTTAGATTTTATCCATCAGGCAGTCAGTCAGTCAGTAACAACGTAGAACCTCGTACGTACGTACGTACACCAGTTCGAGTTGCCATACCGCATTAGCACAGAGATGCAGTTGTCGATTCAAATCCCGTAGTGGTAGAGGCGGTAAGACTATAAGCAGTAATCGGAAAACATAGGGTTTGAAGAAGTTATTTAAAGAGTATAATCCAGTGAAATGAATCTGGAAGGAGAAAAAAAAGAAAAGAAGGATTCAGGGGATTAAAATTTTGGAGAACACAAAGAATGGATGCACCTGAGCCATTGTAAACGATTTTGAGCCATGTCATTCAAGTTCTCTAACCACCGGTTGCTATCATCTCGCGGTCCCCAACCAGGTAGTCTACACCTATCAACATGACTAAGTCCACTTTTCAGTGACTTCATGGACTTGTGCCATGTTTTGGTCTGGACGCCCCTAGCTTTCTTCCAACCTACTCCTATACCACTGAACATCGCACGTCGAGGCAGTCGGTGTTTGGGCATACGTAACAGGTGTCCCAGCCATCTCAACTGATCAACTTTCACTACTTCATCAATTGATTTGCCATCCTTACCTAGTACCCGTTTCCTAACAAATGCGTTACTTACTCGATGGTCCCAGGATATACGAGAAATGTTTCGAAGACATCTATGATCGAATACTAGTAACCTACGAATATCCTCTACTCTTACCGGCCATGTTTCACTGCCATAAAGTAGGACGGAACGAACTGCTGCGCAGTACACACGTTCTTTGGCTGATAGACGGATATCTCGCCTACGCCATAAATGACGCAAGTTGGCAAAAGCTAGTCGATCATTCTGTATCCGTTCTGAGATTTCGACACACACCAGACCACAAGGGCTGATGAAACTCTCGAGATAAGTGAAGTTATCGACACGCTGAATTACTTCACTCCCTATCATTAGTTCGGGTGTCGATGCAACCCAATCCTGAAGCAACATTTTGCATTTCGAGGGGAGGGGAAATCGCATCCCAAACATCCTTGCATTGTTGCTTAGAGTGATCAGAAGACTCTGCATTTTGCCAGCGTCTTCACCAAATAAAACTATGTCATAGGCATATTCCAAGTCAACAAGTGAACCTCCCGGTAGAAGTTCAACTCCTGGAAATTTAGATGAGGAAAGTGTTATCTCTAAAAGTACGTCAACGACAAAGTTGAACAAGAATGGGGAGAGTGGACAGCCCTGACGAACACCACTTGAGGTAATCAGTTCTGATGACATTTCGCCATAAGCTCTCACTCGACCAGTTGTGTTCGAGTAGAGAGCCTTTATAAGGTTAATGTACTTCTTTGGTACTCCTTTCAGTGACAAACACTGCCATAGAACCTCACGATTAACAGAGTCGAATGCTGCTTTAAGGTCGAGAAATACTACCATTGTGGGCGTCTGAATATGTGTCTGTGTTCTAGAACCTGACATGGTGTGAATATCTGGTCTATACGACCACGTCCAGGTCGAAAACCAGCCTGGTTTCCTCTAGTCTGCTCTTCACGAGCTTTAGTTAGGCGTCAAAGTATTATTGAAGCTAATATTTTAGACACTATATTAGTCAAACTGATTCCTCTGTGATTGTCACAAGAGGACTTTTGTCCTTAAAAACTGGTACAATGAGTGATTGAGACCAGTCAGATGGGATTACGTCCAGTTCCCAAATTCTACCTAAGACCTCAGTTAATCTCAATGTTAATACTGGACCACCATCCTTAAAAATCTCAGGAGTAAACCTGTCAGGTCCTGCTGCTCTCCTTCGTTTCAGATTTCCTATGGCTTTTTCAACTTCTTAAAGAGACGGAGGACCTACATTAACTTGCCATTCATGTTGACTGGAGATCGTCGGAAACAGAAGTGTGGCTGAAGGCCAGTTGAACTGATCCCTGAAGTGTTCTGCCCATCGATCCAATCTCCTAGATTGAGAATGTATAATATGTCCATCTTTCTCTGAGAGTGTTTCGCTAACAGTCGGTTTCCTAATACCGGTTTCCTTAACAAGTCTGAAAAAATTGTCTGCTATTACCTATTGCCGCTGCCTTTTCCATCTCTCTTGCTTTCGCTACCCACCACTGTTCACGATCATTGCATAGACTTCTTGTCAGCTTGCGCTTAAGCTGACTCCGCTCTTCATTATGTTCAGATCCAGATGGAATGAGTTTCCGAGCATCTATCAGTGCGGTAGATGTTGCTGAGATCCAGTGTTGCTCTCTAACCTTACGGTTTACCGTACTAGCAGATATCACTGCTGTTTCCACCGCTTTTCGGATATCATTCCATGCTGCTTCGGGGTGGGCATTACATACATGGCTGCCTAACTGTTTTCCTAGTTGTTCCTGAAATATGCTCTTAGCTTGACTATCATTAAGTAGGACCCTAAGAGGTTTACTTGCAGCATGTTTCCTACGTCCAGCAAGACGCAGACAAATACGCGCTCGTACTAAAGCATGATCTGAATCTAAACATGTACTCCAGAATGAGCGACAGTCTTCTATCGAGCTCCTCCATCAGTGGCTGATAGCGATGTGATCTATTTGGGTCCAACGTAGGAACGAATTAGGGTGTCGCCATGTTAAAAGATGTTTTTCCTTATGCTTAAAGTTAGTATTTGCAAGAAAGAGGCGGTTATCCGAGCATAGCTGCAACAGACGGTCGCCATTATTTGTTCTTTGAGCCACGACACCATATCTTTTCGGATCCTTACTGTTCCGTTTAGTCGGACAGCACACAGACGACTGTCTATTGGGACTCAGTCAAAGAGAGCTTGTTCTGCCCTAGGACTCAATGCTATACCTACGCCGGCGAGTTCACGAGAAGCAGCATGTGGTCTTTCACATACACGAAGTGTGAATCGAGTTGCTTCTTTATTTTGGCATGGTGATGTCGAAGATATGACGCTACTCGGATCCTGTATGCGCGTTTCGGAAACGCAGCGCACATCATTGGCGCGAGATTCTAAAGTCCTAGCTAGGGAAGCTTGTTGTTCTATTTGGCGCAGTGTTTGGACGTTATAAGCTCCAACATGAAGTTTAGAGCGTGGTTTCAGGAGACCAGGAATAACGTTCCATGTACTCGAATCGTTTGCCCTAGCTGTACGAGGTGATAAAGGGATGTGAGAAGGGTTAGTTCGGGAAATAAGAGTAGGATTAAGAGCTGTGAGAAGAATTTGAATGTAACCAACTTGGTCTTGTGTGCTGTCATGAATAATAGTTCCGAACAGATATATGAACTTCCTTACGTGGTGTCATGGAAGTAAGTCACAACGCAGACAATAAAAGGTTAAAATTTCAGAATGACCTCATGACTTCGTTAAATTACCAACCATTTTCCGAGTGATAATTAGAGTATATCGATTTGTTGAACATTTTTGGGTTTCATGTTTGATGTAATAACGTATATGCGATCTAATACTATTGTAAAATGCCCTGGTACGGCCGAGAGTGGGGAGAGTCCGCTCTCCCTCTCGAAATACTCTCACACGGCCACGCGTATATAGCCTCTGCCAGGGAAGTCCTACTCACTGCCTTCTCGTGGCGGGGGTGTTGTTTACGAAAATGAGAGGACGAAAAGCGAATGTCCGGCGCTTTAACCGGATTCCAAACCAATGGTGCACATGGGCTCCAGTATCCTGCGGGAACAAATGGCGAATGAACCAATTGTTGGTCACCGGCTTCCATGGGACTGCATCTCCTCACGATGCTCCACTGCCTTGTGGATCAGACCTTCAGGTCGAAGGCTCGGGGTGTGGCCCCCTAAGAAAACCACCTGCTTCGGTTTGGGCACCCGGGCAGTATCACAGCCCTCACACATATCGAATGAGATTTGTGTGGCGCATATGTATTTGGTGCCTCTTTGTACCATTATCTATGTGTTGAAATAAATAAATAAATAAAAAAATGCAAACACGAGAAAATCAGGCTGGCTTCAGACCTGGTCGTTGTTGTATCGACCACATATTCATCATTCTTCAGGTTTCAGAACACAGGCATGCTTATTGGCGTCCGACAATGATAGTTGTTCTTGACTTGTAAGCAGCATTTGACTCTGGAGACCGAGTGGTTCTGTGGCAGTGTCTGTCATTGAAAGGTGTACCTCAGAAGTATATAAACCTTGTAAGGGCTCTTTACTCGAACACTATCAGTCGAGTTAGAGCTTATGGCGAACTGTCATCTGATTTTGCAACCACAAGTGGTGCCCGGCAAGGCTGTCCACTATGTCCATTTAGTTCAATTTCATCATAAACCTACTGCTAGAAATAACGTTTTCATCGACTGAATTTCCGGTAATTTATCTGCTACTAGGAGGTTCACCTATTGATTTAGAATACACAGATGATATGGTCGGTGAGGACACCGGTAAAATGCAGAGTGTTTTGGTAACACTGAGCAACAATACCAGGATGTTTGGGATGCATTTCTTCCCTTCTAAATGGAAATTGTTGCTTCAGGACTGGCCTGCGTCAACACCTGAACTCAGGATAGAGAGTTAAGTAATCGAACGCGTTGACAACTTCACTTATCTTGGAAGTCTGATTCGTCCTGAGAGGCGGCCGAACCAAAACGTAGCATCAGTTCATAGAGTCACTAACTTCTAGCCTGAGCCATGTTGGTAGATGCAGACTACTTGGTTGGAGTCTGAGTGACTATCATAACCAATGGTTGGAGACCCTGGGTGACATGACTGAGAATCTTTCACAATGGCGTTGGTGTTTACACTCTTTGTC